TTCATATCTCCAGTGCGTCTGTGACCTCTGACCTGCAGGGAGATGGCCGCTCCGGGTTTGGACAGCTGACTCAGGAAGTGATCGTGGAAGCCGCTGCGCAGGATATCCTGTGCGTACGTCTCGTAGGGGTCAAAGGCCAGCTCCTGAAAAAGGCCCACACCTCAGTTAATCGACGACAGGAAAAACAAGCGGCTCAAACGCCACACACACACAACACACACAATCATCTTACTAGTAGTGCTGAGGGATACACATTCAAAAATAAATAAATACATGAATTATAATAATAATTACTTTTACGAATGTTACAAATAAATCGTTTTTAAAATATAATTGTTATTAAATAAAATATATACATGAATTAAATGATTACTATTATTATTATTATTATTAATGAATAATTAAACAAATTATTAAAAATAGTATTATTAAATAAAAATATTGCTAACTGCTATTATTAATAATAAAAAATTTAATTTAAAAAATTACATGAAATTATTACTTTTATTATTATTATGGTTGAAATAGTATTATTAAATTAAAATGTATTTGCTATTAAATGCTATTATTAATAATTAAATTTAATTAAATGAAATTAATACAAAATTACATTAATTAAATTACTGCTATTATTATTATGGGTTGAAAATTAAACAAATTATTAAAAAATAGCATTACTATTAAATAAAAATATTAAATGATTAAATAATTATTAAACATTGTTTTTATTAATAATTAGATTAAATTTTTTTTAAATTTATTAAAAAGTACTTTATTATGCAATATAATATTGTTAGGAAGAAAACAAATAAAATTAATTACATTAATGCTATTAATTAAAAAATTACATTATTACTATTATTTAAAAATAACTTTAAAAGTGGTATTATTAGATTAAATTATTATTACTACAATAGATAAATATTTTAATTTAATAATGTATTATAAAATTATGTTATTTTTAAATAACAAGTGTAATAATAATAATAATTATTATTATTAATTAAATTAAAATTATTAAAGTTATAACTTCAATAATTCAATTATTAAAGTTGTTATAAATTGTAAAATCAATATTAAATCAAATAAACAATTTATTATAAATTATATTATTATTAAATCAAATAAATAAAGTATTACTAGTATTATCGTAAATTAAAATAATTTAAATGAATATTAAATACATTTTAATATTAAATAAGTAAATTTAATAAATTATTACTATTAACATTAATTAATGAAATACTTTATAAGAAATTACAATATTTAATAAAATGATTAAATTATTACTACTGTTATTTTTACAGAACATTGAAAAATAAAATCATTTATTATAACTTATAATATTATTAAACAAAAGCTTTTATTATTGTTAACAATAAAATTTGACAACAAAACAAAAATCATTAAATTCATTGATTTTGAAGTCTAGGTCTGACTGTAGTCACTGCACTTTGCCAAAAATACTTCAATTAATTTAATTGTTTCAAAGGTACAAAGACATCGCTATATAAATCATTTGATCATTTGGAGACGTGTCTTAAGTCGCTGGGGTATATTTGTAGCAATAGCCAACAATACATTGTATGGGTCAAAATTATATATTTTTCAGATGATGCATAAATCTCAATTTCACAAAATTGACTCTTATGACTGGTTTTGTGCTCCAGGGTCTCTTATATCTGTGAGCGTGAGACCTCGGCGAGGTCCTCGAAGCAGCTGCCCACGAGCGGGTGAGGACTGCCCTCGTCGGTCATCTCCACCGTGTCCTCGATCAGCCCCAGCAGCTTCACCGTCACCTCATGGATGTCCACGATCCGGCTGAAGATGTTCTCCACGTCCTGAAGAACAGAGCACACTAGAACTTTCCCAAGCGCTCATTCTGAGTGGCTCAATAGTGCGATATGCGGTATTATCGCTATATAGATGCAGCGGGTAAAATAAGTTTTGAACACGTCAGCATTTTTCTCAGTAAATATATTTCTGAAGGTGCTGTTGACTTGAAATTATCTCCAGATGTCGGTAACAACACAAGTAATCCATACATACAAAGAAAACAATACAAATAAGTTCAGAAATTAAGTTCTGTGTAATAAAATGGAATGGCACAGGGAAAAAGTATTGAGCTACTGAAATGTATTTAATACTTTGTACAAAAGTGTTTGTTGGTGATGACAGCTGTCTGGAGAAACTAGTGGC